GAATTTTAGGTGCATTTTTTTATGCTGTACATTGGCATTTGGGAGTCATTCAGAATTAATGCCAGCACCCTGCAGTCACTCAAGGGTTTTTCTCAACCTGCTTTCTCAGAAATCTGGTTGCAGCCGTTGATGGCTTCCTTTTTATGAGAAGGCAGGTTGAGAAAAACCCTTGAGTGACTGCAGGGTGTTGGCATTCATTCTGAATGACTCCCAAATGCCAATGTACAGCATAATAAATGCACCTAACCTTCACCACAACTCTATGCACAGATGCTGTTCATTGTGTTGGGCTGCATTGACCAAAAATAGTGCAATTTTATTTTTTTCATGTGTAGAAGTTTATTAAGAGCCCGTTAATGGCCACATTAATGCAACGTATGCTGGCGTATAACAAAATGCACGTTAAAATGCAAAGGTGTGAAGGGGCTCCAGAGGAAGGCATGCTGCCTTAGGTTCACTTTGCTGCACCACGTTTTTAGAGCTTCCAATCAAAAACTGCAATAGGATGAGAGGGAGCCCCTCAAAACCGGACATAGCAGGTGTCCAGACCTGGAAACTCAACATAGAGATTTCACCAATAGAGTTCCCAAATGATATAACAGACATTTGAGGGGTTTGGCTCTCTAGGACCTACAAAAAAAACAAAACTTAAATATCCATTTTGGGTAGACTAATCCTTTTAAAATCACTTTCATTGATCAAGTGCAGTGCAGACGTAAGAGAATCGAGTGCTCATCTAAATTGCAATTTTATTTAACTTGAACTTAATCTGAACATGGTACTGTTAAGATGCCTTCTGTTCCATATTGCAGCATAATTCTAGAAGTGTGCTAGACTAAGCAAATAAAAGTTTACTTCCATACGTACTTCTGGTGCCGAAAGTGATAACAGCAACATTTGCTGAGAACAGAGTGGAGCTTCGGCTCAATTATTGTGCTAATAGTCCCCGCAGCCCCTTTGTTTCCAAAGACACTGGGAGAAGTCCAGAGTACTTGGCCTAAATTACTGCACTATGGGGAGGTGAGAAAAAAAGCAGACTAATCACAGGGCTGATAAAGGCCATTTGTCCGCATGGCCCGGCCATCACTTGGACTTTTGTTGCTGGGGCACAATAAAATGAAAATGCACGCTTGTGGGAACAGATAATAAATATTCCTATTATATACCTCTTAGCACTCATTTCCACCTACTGTACAATATAGGTGCATTTAGGCATTCCTGCATCAGGAACATGCGATTTCCTGCAGCAGGAATCCCAAATGTGCCATTTACAAGAGCAGCTGCCATCCATATTAAGTTAATGATTGGGTGACAGAGAAATTAAAACTACAGCCCACATGGAAATGGTATTAATCAATATTATTGTATTTTATTTTACTGTGTGTGTGTATGTGTTTGTGTGTATATATAATATATATATGTACAGGGCTTGAAAAATCCACTCGTCTGTGACGAGAGGACGGTGGAGCCCGACGAGCAGCTTCCCAGCCGGCCGTTGTAATTACACGGCCGGCCGGGAGCTTAACACAGTCAAGCGATCGAGTGTCTCTATAGACGCTCGATCGCTTGTATTAGCAGCTGTCACTGCCGTTGCCGGTCCCGAGATCCGCTGTGCCCGATGCGGCCGGGACCGGCACGGCTCTGTGACAGGAGATCAAAGGGAGTTCAGTATACGAACTCCCTTTGATCTCCTCTCAGACCCCGAATGCAGGAAGTGATGTATATTACATCACTTCCTGCATTCAGTGTCACTCTCCAGCTAGAGAAGCTGATGAAGCCGATCTCTGCTTCATCAGCTTCTCTGGGGGTCCCTAGGTGACATTAGGGGTCTTGGAGACCCCTGATGTCTCCATAAAGAGGACCTGTCATGAAATTTGGCTATCCCATAGGGGGCTTTTTTTATCCCCCCATGTAATAGCAATAAAGTTGTGTGTAAAAAAAAAAAAAAAAAAGAAATACAAAAATTAAAGATTCATTAAAATAAAGCATAAAAAAAATTTGTAAAATAAAAAAACATTTTAAGTCCCCGCCCCCCACATACACACGCAGATATGCGTCGGGTGCACCTACGTGCGAAAACGACGATTGTGCCTATTGTGCCGCACATGTTACATATCGCCACAAACGTCGGAGTGAGAGCAATAATTTTAGAGCCATTAATCACTGATAACACTAAACTGATGAGCAGTAAAAGCATGTTAACCGTCGCCTATGGGCGTTTTTTGCGATTTTACGGGCGCACGCAATTTTAAGGCTTGACATGTTTGGTGTCTATTTACCCAACGTGACCCCGACTTTTATGTTTTACTAAAAAATATGGGTAAGAGTAAATGTTTTATAACATAACGTAGGGAAACTTTTTTTTTTTTTTACATTTATGGTACTTTTTTCATTAGATAGTAAAAAATAAAATAACCCCCCGTGGGGTCACAAAAGAAAGCTCTACCTGTCCCCCAAAATTTTTAACATAAATTGCAAGGCTATGGTCCTGTCATGCTGACTGGTGACATTTTTGACTGACTGGTAAGACACCGTAAAATTTTTCAAGCCCTGTATACATATATTTATTATTATCATTTCTTTTATATTCTGACGGCGGCCCCTGTCAAAAAAAACAGAAAGGGCACCTCCCTGAAATAAGGTTTGGCAGGTTGGGATGTCTGTGTTTACATGCACTTTGAACTTGTTCACACTATGCCTGCTGAGTTGGGTTGATTTGCATAACTCAATGTAGGCTCAATGCAAGGGCAAATAATAATAACAATAATGTGTTTATCTATAATCTATTCACTCCGTACACGTGCTGTGGTGTGTGCAGTGTAAAAATGGAGCGAGCACACATTTTTAATGCAGCGCAACCAACATCACTGCATGTCATCCCATCGCACCATGTCGCAATGTGCCGCGGTGCATAGAATTAAACGCAGTGTAATTTTGTGACACTTTAATAAAGTTGAAAAATAACTTTTGTTTCTTAGTTTTAAATATGCTTTAAAGGGCTTGTTCACCACATCCTGCAGGATGGTGTGAACAAGCTCATTAAAGTGTATTTAAAAGAAAAAACTAAATGTAATATATTATAAGCTTACCAAATGTTTAGATGTGCCGGCTGCATTTGTTTTCTTTTTTTAGGCTTCTTTCCTTTAACTTCACCAGTAAGTCGGTTATATTTTACCTTACTTTACCAGGCCAAGATGTCCAGCAAAAGTGGTACTTAGGACATAGAGGCAAACTATTTAAAAGTTGGATTTTACTCATTTATGTTACATTTTATTCCAAAAGGAAATAAAAACTGTTGCTGTAAATGCTTTCAAAGTGTTAGCTGGAGTTCAGGTTTTAATTGGTTAGTCAAATCCATCTAAATGTGCAAGTCCGTCTAACACCACCCTCCCCACAGGGTGACATATTGCTGTGCAGTGGTGGCTCCATCACTCCTCCACGGAGTGGAGCCTCCCTAAGGGCTTGTCCACACGATGTCCGGACCAGATCTGCAGACCCGGTGTTCCAGTGAAAAAGAAACACACACACTACAGTCTCATGTTTTGTTTACTCATTTGTATCGAGATTGTAGTCCATCACAGGAGTGAGCTTGGATTGGTGACTACTTTAAAACACACTCAGGGACCATGGGGAACAAAAGTAGCCCCCTTCCAGAAGGAAGGACAGTGTCGGCACCAATTCAGAGATGATTTGAGGATCTACAGCCCAGTGATACACAAATAAGATACATTTTTGTTACTAGTTAAAGTACTTAAATGTATATTTAAGGGCTGGTGCTGACCTGAGCGATCTCGGGACGCACGTCCGAGACCATGCAATCGCGTGCGGCCGGAATGTACATGTACCTTTTTATTGCGATGCTCTGCTCTTTTTTTTTAGCCGCTATGGTGTTCAATTGCATTGGGGGGAATTGCTGTGGGAACACCTGCAACTGCCCAGCTCAACTGGGGTGCCTTAGAAAAGAATGGCACCACCAGAGTGATCATCGGTGGTGTGCGACTCCGTGACCACACGGCAATCCGCACGGTTTTGTGCACGATTGCCGCACGGTCAAGGATCGCACAAATGTGAACCTGGCCTCAGATTTAACTTCTGACTAGTGTAAACATGCGCTGCAGTCAAAATTGAAAAATCTGCATCTGACCAGACACATTTTACAGACGTACTTGTAAAGTTCCCGGGGAACTGGGTTTACACCAAGCCTAGGCTCATCACTCGTGTAAATCAAATCCGTAACCCAAAATAAAAAAAATCTGCATCTGACTAGATACATTTTACAGAAGTACTTTTGTAAACTTCCCGGGAAACTGGAGTTACACCAAGCCCAGGCTCATCACTCCTATAAACATGCGCTGCAATCAAATCTGCATTTACTAGATATCCTTCTACAGACGTACTTATGAAAAGATGCGCATGCGCGTAAATTACATTGAAAACAAAGCCAGTGTTCTAACGAAAGCTCCAACTCATCAAAATCTCCAACTACCTAACTTCCGGTGCTCATAAGACTGGAGCTCTGCACAGTTGCGGTGCGCATAGTGTGTTCAGAATACTCGTCGAGTTTCCCACCCGCTATTATTAAAATGCAGCTGTACAGAAGCTACGTCAGTCTTTGTGTTTTGCAGTCTAATGCCGTCTGGTCGAAATCTCCAGCTTGTAAATACCCGGCAGTGAGGTAGTTGGGAGATTTCGACAGCTTTGACCATAGGTGACATCTATATTCAAAGTTGTTCTATGTGCGGCGCCATCCGCTGTCATTTCAAGCACCCATCAATACCTTGGGATTTCCAGTAAGGAGTGCTACAAGATCTATGGACATTGGAGCTTTAGATAGAACACCGAATGTAACGGAAGAAGAATTTTACGTATGTGTGCTCAGTCATTTACGTCAGAACTTTTTGGCCAGAAAAAAAACAAACCATTCATATACGATCGGCAAATTCCTTACGGCCGTGTGCATGTCGCCTAAGATAAAATCGTTACATGCACATGAAATTTACCATGGGTTTTAAGTTTATCGGTCATCTTGTTGATTTGACGCTCCAGCCTGGCGTACCTCGCGAACTCGTCCATCATGTTAATACTGGAGAGCTCCTGTCTCATACTTTGAATGTCAGACCTCATTTGAGACTCCTGCTCTGCATCCTTCTGCAGTAACCTGGATAACTGAACAGAAGAAGACAGTCTGAGACAGAAGGCAACATTCAACCTCTCCCCCCTCGTCCCATGGAGTTTGTGAGCAAATACAACAAAAATCTGCAAACAACAAATCAGATCTCCATGATTAAAAATACAGAACATGTCAATGTCAGGATCATGTGCTTATTTCTACAGGCAAGCAGTGTGTGTGTGGCATCTTGGTGGCAGGAGCTGTCTTCTGTTGTCCTGATCACTTGGGACGAGAGCACCCTCCATATTTGTTTGTACAAAAAAAAAAAAAATGGCACTTTGCTGCACAGGCTGAGGAATCAGTGATGCTCAGTGTACTTTCTCTGACCCCCTGCAGATGGTCAGTATACATGGATCAGGGATTAATGCCAACATGCCATTCACATGCTTGTTGTTTTGGCTTTTTTGTTTGTTTTTAACCAGGTCATTCTACACAGGATTTATTATCTGTATGTCATATACACACACACACACAAAAAGGTTAACTAAGGTGAAAAAGAAGAGCGAATGGAGCTGAAAACATGGCACCCTGTAAAGAACACTGCGTGCCTCCAGCCATCTAGAAATACCTAATCAGCTTATGCTGGATCTGCATGACAGTGCAGGGCTATGGATGAGATTCAGAAATGTGATCTGTATTATTGTAATTAGAAATGGCCGATCGCACCCCCCTACTCCCCCCGGGGGGTTGTTGTTGTTGTTTTATTTGCACGTTGCTGCCCATGCTGGGGTTACTTACAATCGAGGAAAAGGTAGGAAGCTGGACTTTAAAGAGATTGCATACAAACACGGTGCTGAGCACCAGCAGCCACGCACAGCTCTCCGCCATGTTTTTTTTTCCCCCAGCCTGCGATCATCGCATCACACAAGGCAACACAATAGCAATCATCGAAACCCCACCCCTCGGGAGCTCCGAAAAGGGAGAAGGACGGGGCGAAAAGCGAAAGAAATCAGCGGCGCTCGGCCCCCGTGTGATCGTTTCTCGGCTTCCGCTTTATTATACGTTATGTTGTGACACGAGCGGAGCGGATACATTCGGATACATTGTAACACCTTTTTTCCCCGCGGCCCCTCCCCCTCTTTGGAACGTTTAGACAAGCCGATGGAACGTTGGGGGCAATCTGCTCGGGTCCGTGACGTCGAAGCGCGCCCCGGCCAATCAGCGAGCGCCGTTCTATTTACCACCAGCGATTCAAACAAACGTAAAAGGAGGAGAAAAAAAAAAACTTCCCAATGGAGGGGGAAAAAAATACCTAAAGCCGATTTACTATGACCCCCCCCCCAATTCCTAACAAGGAGGGAGGGGGGAAGGATAGGTTGACTGACAGGCTCGCCTACCCAGACAGGTGCCCGTGTTATGGTTTGAAAGGCGCTCTTTAGCCGCGACCGACCAATGGCGCCGCGGGAGGGGCGGGGCTAGCCATTGCCCCCGCCCCCTCAGGTCGAAGCGGTGAATAGATAAGAGGCGGAGGGATCCTATCCGGTTTGAACTAGTTCTCTTGCTGGCATATTAACCGCTTGCAAGCGCCGGGGATCGAGCTAGTCTTTGTGAGGACTCCATCTGCAGGAGGGAAAGGATTCCTCCGCTCTGTTTTTTTTCCTCCCCGAGCAAGCCCGGGCGTCCATTGCTGTGCCGGTTTAGGAATTTTAATTTTTTATTAGGATTTTAATTTTTTTGTTTTTACTTCTGCAAGCACAAAGCGATTAACATGCCGAAAAGAAAGGTAAGCGAATGAAAGCCATTGCAATTTGCGTTCGCGGCTTTTACCGCCTGTGAAACATCGCACCGTTCG